GCGATGGGCACGAAGCTTGAGTTCAGTTCAGCCTACCATCCGGAGACGGACGGTCAATCAGAGAGGACGATTCAGACACTCGAGGATATGCTTCGCGCCTTGGTTGTTGACAGGGGTGCCCAGTGGGAGTCACTGTTGCCGTACGCAGAGTTTGCGTATAACAACAGTTATCATTCATCTATTCAGATGGCTCCTTACGAGGCACTTTACGGTCGCAAGTGTCGTTCCCCTCTCTATTGGGACGACGTCGGAGAGCGACGAGTACTCGGTCCCAAGTTGATCGAGGAGACAACAGATCAGGTCGAGTTGATCCGGTAGCGACTCAAGACAGCTCAGAGTCGACAGAAATCTTCAGCCGATCATCATCGACGAGACATTCAGTTCGAGGTTGGCGAGCCAGCCTTTCTCAGAGTTCGTTCGATTCGCGGAGTTGTGCGATTCGGAAAGAGAGGGAAGCTGCACCCTCAGTTCATCGGTCCGTTCGAGGTTCTCGAGCGAGTAGGCGAGGTCGCGTATCGATTAGCCCTACCTCCCGAGTTATCAGGCATTCATAATGTATTTCACGCATCGATGTTGCGTAAGTACGTGTGCGACCCCGATCATGTCATTCCTCATTCAGATATTCAGGTTCAGCCAGATCTTTAGTACGAGGAGCGACCGGTAGCTGTATTAGACCGTCAGGTTCGTCGGCTCCGGAAGCGAGATATTCCCCTCGTGCGTATTCAGTGGGATCGCCACGGAGCTACTTGGGAGGAGGAGTCCGATATTCGCGCTCGTTTTCCAGATTTTCAGTTATGATGTACATAATTTCTTGTTCTATGTACATAGTTCATGTATTTTCAGTTATGTTCTGAATTTCCGAGGACGGAAATTTTGTAAGGAGGGAGGATTGTAATATCCCGACAGTTTCAGTATAAATTATATTTTTAGTTCCGATATTAATTTTTGTAATTAATTATTTTCAGTCAGTTCAGTCGAAATTACCGGAAATTATTTTCGACGTACCGTTTACGTTCGGAATAATTTTGGTAATTAAGCATTATGTTTAATTGAATAATTAAACATAATCAAGTGATTAATTTATAATTAATCACGAGATTAGTAGTAAAACCGTTCGTATTTCTTCCAAATTCTCTCCAAATAATGCCGCATGTTTTAGTGGGGAAAAATTTGCAAATTCATGCAAAAAGCCGTGCATGATTTATTCCAAGTTTGGAGAAACTCTACCTTATTTTTTAAGTTAGCAAAACGTGTCATTATGTGGCTAAATAATGGGGCTTAGTCATCTAAGAGTTATTTGAGGTGATCCATGTGTCATTAGCTTGTGAAATTTCCAAATCAAGTCATCAAGCACCTCTTTCATTCGGTGCTATAAGTAGAGAGGAGTTTGGGAATTTTTCCCATCTTTTCCCACACATATATATTCATCATGCTTAGCTGTAGGTACTCTTCAGTTCAGCCATTATATTTATATATAGCAAAGTAAAAGAGAGAGTTGTGTTTATAAAGTTTAGCACCAAGCAACCGCACGCCGAGCTATAGCGAGTAGCACCCCTACCGTACCGAGAGCGTCACGTTGCACACAAGCAGCAAGCAGCACGTCAGTCCGTTACTGCGCG